AGGAAAGAGAGAGAGAGAGAGAGAGAGAGAGAGAGAGAGAGAGAGAGAACACATGGCCGGCAAGCCACTCCCACCAGGTCACATGGCCAGCAAGCCACTCCCACAAAGGAGGCCACACCCACAGAGTAGGTTCGAAACCCACCACTGTCCTGGTGGTTCCTTGATTAGGCTGTTGTTTACTGTTTGACTGAGTTGGTAGTTCCCTGATTTGAGTAAGACGAACAATTGAATAAGTTACGCCATGGGTGCAGCGCAACTTTAATTGGGGTGAAGAAGACAATAAACAAACCTTCCCATTAAATTGTGAATTCTGCGGGGTTCCTTCTGTAATGTTGATGTAAAGGATGAATGGCCTTCCTATTGATTGAGTTGTTCGTAGGCATTGTATTCATTTCCATGTTTGGCCGTGTATTGTCAATCTTGTGTAGGATATTTTGAAAGAGGCGAGTGGCTTTCAGTTATGACCTCTGGTAGCCCCACCGGTTCCTTAACGTGGAATTTTGCTGTGGATTGAGAGTTATGCCCCTGCAGGAAATTTAATACAAAAGAAACTGTCCGTGTGGATAGTGCTATATTAAGAACAAAGAGAACTCGTCACAGCTCTCAAAACATTAACTTGGGTCTTATGAATCATCCATTTATAAGAATATCCACCCAAACCTCCGCACTTTTAATATTCGTGCTTTACATTTATTAGTTGCGCATTCCAAACACTTGGTATATTTATGAGAGTTATAATGAAACAGCAGGCCTGAAATGCAGGGGTAGAGCTACCTGTGGCAGGTGAGAGATTAAGGATGAGGACAGAGGAGCTGAGCAGCAGAGAAGATGAGTGACAGCACCATAAAGTGTTGGAAGGAGCACAGAAAGACCCCAGTTTTCAGTTTCCATTTCGCCATGAAGCTGTTAAATGGAAAAGAAGAGCCGGCAGAACTGGGGACAGAGGTAAGCATGTCATCCGCTTAGAATCGTTACGTTCCCACAAACGGTCCAATCCCAATCCATCTTGAATTCCATTGACCGGCACCAATTTACTGTTGAACCTTAGTTGCCAATAAAGGAGAATATTTGTAGCGCAGGGTTAAAAAAAAAGAAAGAGGCCCTTGATGCTCTCTGAGCTTGGTTGTTTTCTTGTTTCATGACCCATCTAGGTAACATCATCAGTGCTAGAAGAATTGGGGGGTGCTGGAGAGGAGGAGGAAGAGGAATGGGAGAAGGAGGAGGAGGATTGTGTGATCTTTGATGTTCTCTGAGTTTGCTTGTTTTCTTGCAGACGTTTCATGACCCANAAGCCACTCCCACCAGGTCACATGGCCTGCAAGCAACTCCCACAAAGGAGGCCACACCCACAGAGTAGGTTCGAAATTTTTTTGAAACCCACCACTGCATCTAGCTAATTCAGCCATGTTTTGATTCATGTTTAAACTCTGCTGAATTTTACTGAGAGTCAACCTAAATCCTTGACATTTTCTTGTTAAGGATATGATAAAGATCAACAATGAGATGAAAACCTCATGCCTAGCAAAATGCTGAAACAGGACTGTATAATTTTAAATATTGAATTGGTTAAGAAAATGTACGGAAGAATGTCAGTGAGCCATACAAAAGGTTTCAGACAATTGTGTTTTATTTATGTAATTAAAATTCACAATCTATTTCTTTACCTGCATTACATGTATTTTATATATAGATATACATATACAATACATATACATACATGCATACAGACGGACGGACGGACAGACAGACAGACAGAAGGAATTATTTACAAATCTAGTCTAGTCTTGATCAATATTTTTAAAGAAACATTAATAAAGAGATCAAGTGTAAAAGTTGGAAATTCAAATTATAAAATTATGCTGATTTTATTTCAGAGGCAATTTTATATTTTTAAAAATCATAAGAATGTTTTTAAACTTCCATAATTTTTTGTTTTTCTGACTGTTTTTCATGCTGATTCTCTACATTTTCTAAATACCAAATTTTCAAACACATACAAACACGTTTTAGGAAAACTGTATCAATAAATTAATAGATTTATTTCAAGTAAAATCATGCTCCTATGACTGTTGTGAATCTGTCACAACACATAGCCATAAATAAATTATCTCCCAATTCACCAGCAGCTGAATCATGGATAGATCAGGAAACGTTATTGTTCTGGGGTACCTAAAGTATTTGGAATGCATAAAAAGTAGTGTGTGAACAGGTTGGTATGTCTGTGCAAACATGGCCCTTGGGGCACATAGGCAGCAAATATCAATAGAGATAGTCAATAAAAAAAAATTAAGCTATTCCAATCCTTCTTTTCAACAGTACACCTTAAAATCACAATGCCATGGTTCACTGCAGAAGTGAAATCCTCCATCTGATCTATCAGAGTTATAAAAGCAGAACCTTGTTAGTCAAACAGAGAAGAAAGCTTGGGGAAAAGGAATTAATGGGAATTTACAAAAGCCTGGCTACATGCTGAATATGTGCCCTGAACAGTTGTGAAAGAATAGAATGAAAAAAGAAAATAATACCACACTCAATCCATGAGCTTCAGTTTTGATGTCTCAAATTGTCTATAATGAAAAGGCAATACAATATTTCCCAGTACTTCCTCTTAGTTTATCCTAAGAAGTTGCTGTTCAATTCTCAGTCTCTTACTGTCCCCAGGGAGCATGACCTATGACCTCAGTGAATATAAATAAGGAGAGTTGTCATCCAGCACAAACTGATGGGGAAGGCTGATGTAGAAGCTCTTGGCCTGGATAAACTTGATTTAGCTAGAGAAGGAAAAGCTGAAGAAACTTTGGCCCAGCCTTTCTTGTCATTTCCAATTTACTATTGTCCTGAGAAAGAAATGTCTGCTAGCCTCATTCATCAGCCAGAGGAAGGTTCTAGGGAAAAAAATAAGAGTAGAGAAAGATCAGTCTGGCACTTTATGTCAAGCAATGAAAATGCCGGACATTTGTTTCATCTTCTTCCAAATTAATATTTTAAAAAGCTCTGTAAGCTTTTCTGTCCCTGAATCTGTTCCTTTTTTGTTGTATCATTCTGTTTTCCTTTCATGGGCCATAAACAGCAGAATAAAAATGGCTCAAATTAAAAAGGATGCAGTAGCTAAAGCTGATGGGAGCCAGCCAAAAGGTTAAGTGGGTGATTTTGATCTCTTCTCAGCAACCCTCTGGACTATATTTGGATTGATGCACAGAACAAAACCAAACAAAATAATCTGTCTTCCATTCGACTAACTCCTGCATTCTACTTGAAAGTGAAAAGCTAAGCTAAAGCATTAAGTCTAGTTCCTGGCACTGAAACTCTTGAAATACAAGGAATGGAATAAGGTCCATTAAATGACTAACACCAAGACCGTTCTACCACTCAGACAGCTAAAATATAAACATCAAAAGGAAAAAAAGACCCTCCAACCTAAAAATAGAATATTTCCCTACATTCCAGAGATTGCTTGACTATCTTAAATTCCACAAGTGAGTGACAAAGTTAATGTATATAAAAGCCTTGCCAAATCTTACATTTGCTTTGTTTCCCAAGTCTCTTAAATCCAGTGAACAGTAAAAAAGTGCAAAGAGAAACTTTGAGGGGAGGGTAAAGTTCCCAAAGGAGACCTTCTAAAAACATATGTTGCTTGTTTCTAGTCAAGAAGTGGGAGGGATCACTCTGACAAAATGCTATTATGCATCATCAGAGGGGAAATATCAATTGTCTGACTATTAGCTTTAAGGTTAGTTCATGCACTTCACTTAGCTTTGGATTGCTTATCTGCTGTTTATTGAACAGACCACAATGGTTTCATACATAATGCTAAAA